CCCTATTCTACAATTCAGGATATCCAAATTTCAGGATTCCAACACTACCGGTTCTCCCAAAGTTGTACAAATTTTATAACTATTTAGTACTCGTAAGTACGAATTCCCAATCCGACAAAGCAATTGTAATTTTATTTCCAAATTTCAGGATTCCAGCTTTATCAGTTCACCCAAATCGAAATGGTAACAAATTTAGTACCATTTAGCAATTTTCGTGCCCATAACTACAAATTTCGAAGACTACCATATCCCAATCCTACACTTCGCAGTAATGTTAATCTCAAATTTCAGGATTTCAGCTCCATCCGTTCCTCCAAATTCAAATTCTACTAAATTTAGTACCGTTTGGTATGTTTCGTATACATGAGTACACCGTTCCAAAACTACCTCCTTAAATCGCTCCTACTCCTCATTCTTGATTCCAATTCCAATTTTCAAGTTTTCAGTTCTACAGAGTGAGATAAAAAAACTGCAACAAAGTCAAACGGCATGATTTTTACATTTATTGAATGAATCAAATTTAAGAATAAGTTCAGATTTGTTCGAATTGGTCACCTTGGCACGAATTGTCGCCTTCAAACGGCCAATGAAACCGTCACACGCTGCCCGAATGTTGCTCAGCGGCATTTTGTCCCATTCCTAAAGCACTTGCTTTAGGTGATCGAAACCGACTGTCTGTCTGTCCAAAATTTAGCAGAGTAATTTGTATTGTGTCTAGGATGGTTGGTATTGAAAATGGGATATATCGGTCCACGTTCTGGTATAGTCCCCATATAACGGTACCTTCCAATATTCGGTATTTTGATGATTTATGTCACATTTTTCACGGATTTGTCTGAAAATTGGTATTTGTAGGTCATAACAGGTCCCTGTGTGTGTGGCAAAACATTGCATGTATGGGTCCATGATTTGGTATAGCCCTCATATAACGGTACCTCCCGATATTCGGTATTTTGATGGTTTTTGCCACATTTTTTCACTGATTTGTCTAAAAAATGGTATTTGTGGGTCATAATGGGTCCTAGTTTGTGTGGCGAAACATTGTATGTATTGGTCCACGTTTTGATAGATTCGCCATATAACGGTACCTCCCAATATTCGATATTTTGATGATTTTTGACACATTTTTTCAAGAATTTCTCTGAAAATTGGTAGTTGTATATCATAATGGGTCCCAGTTCGTGTGGCGAGTCATTGTAATAATAGGTCCACGATTTGGTATAACCCCCATATAACGGTACTACCCGATATTCGGCAATTTGATGATTTTTGCCACATTTTTTCACTGATTTGTTTGAAAATTGGTATTTGTAGGTCATGATGGGTTCTAGCTCCTTTGGCGAAACATTGCATGTGTAGGTCACCGATTTGGTATAGCCCCCATATAACGGTATCTCACGATATTCGGCATTTTAATGGTTTTTTGCCACATTTCTTCTAATGTTTCCTTTACCCAAAGGTGGAGGGTATTAAAAGTTTGGCCCGGCCGAACTTAATTTTTTTTTACTTGTTTGGAATTTCAATGGTTTTACTCCGAGCTCATGTTTCAATAGTTGCCCAATGGAATATTGCGATATGTTCAGCTCACGAGCTATTTTTCGGTCACTGCGACGCGGATTTCGATGAAGCCGCTTCTTTACTTTTCGAACCATTTGTGCTGATTTTGCTGTTTTCTTCCGTCCACTTCCTTGACGTTGGACTACGCTACCAGTATCAAGGTAGCGAGCGATGGTACAATACACAAAAGATTTATTCACATGTAAATGCTGGGCTACTCTAACGATAGTCACTTGTGGTTTTCCAGCCAAATATAAGAAACACACTATAACGCTTGAATTCCATCTGGAAAATTCTCACCAAAATGCTTTTGTACGCTTTTAAACAATATAATGAACTGTCACTGGAATAATTTTAACAGCTGTCGGACGAGTGACTTAGAAATTACAGCAGTCGGAAATTGGTTGCAATTTTTTCATCTCCCCCTGTAAGCATTCACATGCTACGAAATGGTGACAAATATTGGTAATTTCGTGCACATATAGTTCGAATTTTCCAAAAACCCTTTGGTATGTCCATCAAGCACAGTGATTAGTGAATTTAAGAGTTCTAGCACTACTGGTGCGTCCAATACAATAGGTACCATATTTAGTACCTCTTAGTAGTTTTCGTATTGTTCTATTACGAATTTTCAAAAACCCAGTCTTATCTGATACCTTCCGACCAAGAATGACTCTCATCCGAAATTTTATTCAGTCAATTACTTACTGTTATATATCCCGGTCTGCTAGTAAAACAACTGTTGCCTTCAGGTAACTCATAACAACTGAGTGATGGTGTTTATTGCATATGCTTACATCGATAGTAGTTTAGTAGTTACTGAATACGTAACGTATACAACACCTCTCCCCTCTCTTATAACAAAAATAATAAAATGAATTCAATAAAATACTATTAGCTAAAAACTCCGAACACTAATACCTTTCAATCCGTATCGATAACATAATCATTTAGTCGATGAGGTCGCCGTATATTCCTCCTAGGATTCGTTCTTATGTTGACTGCCTCGCCATTCCCTGCTGGCTCTTCAAATCCGATGAATGCTGACCCCGGAGAACTTGGGGGCGTTGCGAAGGACTGATCTCGATTGTCTGACATCACGCATTCGTCTGTTGCTTCTCGTTCCGCATTACTCATACTTGTAGGGTTCTCTCTCTTCTCCAAAGTCAAATCTGATGGCTCATAACTAGCACTATGTGTTTCCTCAACTTCGTTATCCAGCTTTACTCTGCCATTAATCTTTCTCAATTGATCAATGTGTCTGTTCCAACACCTACCATCTTCCAGCCTCACTTTGTAATGCAAATCACCAATTCTCTCTCTTACTATTCCAGGCTTCCACTTAAGCTTATCCATATAATCCCGAGCCATTACAGCGTCTCCTACTGCTAACTCTCTTGTAGTTTTTTGTCTTTCGGGGTCTCGGACTTCATTGTTGGGCAGTAGGAGGTCCAATCTGCTTTGTATTTGTCGCCCAAACATTGTCATAGCTGGTGATTTATTCGTGACCGGGTGAATTGCTCGTCGATATGCCAATAAAATTTGATCAATTTTTCGCTGTAACTCCTCCTTACGAGGCATTGCCTTCAACTTGGTCTTGAAAGTTTGTATAAAACGTTCTGCTTGACCATTCGTTGCAGGGTGGTACGGTGCCCCCAACTTATGCATGATACCATTTTGTTTTAAAAACTCTTGAAATTTCGCGCTTTTGAACTGCGTCCCGTGGTCGCTGACTAGAATGTTTGGTATTCCAAATTGCGCAAATATACTTCTACATACTTCGATTGTTGTCTCCGTGGTAATGTCTCGAACTATCCTTACCTCCGGCCATTTACTAAAAGCATCCACCAGTACAAAAAAATATTTGCCCAAAAAGGGACCAGCGTAATCCACATGCACCCTTTCGAAAACTTTCTTCGGAGGTAACCAGCAATGAACCGGTTCTTTCTTTACATCTGGTCGCCCGATCTGACATTCATAACAGTCAGCAACCGCTTTTTCAATGTCCTTATCTAAATTTTTCCACCAACAATACGCTCTGCAAGTGACTTCATTTTTGATACACCAAAATGTCCCGAATGTAATTCTTGTATTATTCTAGTTCTCAGCGGTTTTGGCACATACACTCTTATGCCTCTTAATAAGCATCCTTGTTGCAAGCTAAATTCGGATGGGTCGATTCCAAAACTGTCGGCAGGATCACACTTCCGGCCATATGACAAACTGTCTACTAAACGTCTTACTTCCGCATCTTTTTTGTGGCTTGTCCTAATTCCTTGACGGTGATTGGCAAATTCTCAATTAATTCCATTTCAATTTGATCAATCTCGCTGATTGTTTTGCTGCATTCATTTACAGGAAGCCTCGATAGCGCATCTGCATTCCCATTCTCCTTAGATTTACGCAAACGAATCTTGTAATCAAAAGGTTCCAGGAATACTGCGTAATGTTGCATACGCGTTGCAGACAATACCGGTAATCCCTTGTCAGGCGCAAAAATCTGTGATATTGCTTTATTGTCGGTAATTAAAGTAAATTCCCTTCCATATACATATTGGAAAAACTTTTTACCCCGAATATTACTGCGTATGCCTCCTTGTCTACTTGGCTATACCGTCTCTGTGTTGCATTTAAAGTTTGCGATGCAAACTGTATAGGTCTTTCCGTTCCATCGCCAAATTCGTGACTCAATACGGCTCCCACACCCGTAGGGCTTGCATCCACTGCCAATGTTAATTTTTTTCTTGGATCATAATGTGTCAGCACCACCTCTGATCCCACTTGTCTCTTTACTTCTTCGAAAGCCCATTTACATTTAGCATCAAAATTAAATGGAACTTCTTTGTGCAGTAATCGATTTAGAGGGTAAACTATAGAGCTCAAATTTTTTATAAAACGACCATAATAATTCACTAGTCCCAAAAATGATCGAACTTCGTCCTTGGTTGCCGGATATCTCATTTCTTGAATAGCCTTAATCTTGGCTGGTATCTTACGAATTCCTTGTCGATCAATCACATAACCACAATACTCAATACTCTCTCGCAGAAATTCCGACTTAGCAAGATTTATTCGCATATTGTATCGGTCTAATCTTTTTAACACCTCTTCTAACCGGTCTAAGTGTGTCCTCTCATCCTTGGCTGTTATTTTAATGTCATCCAGGAACACCTTAACACCCGGTATATCCGCTAATAACTGCTCCATTAATCTTTGCCACTGAGACGGGGCGCTAGCAACGCCAAACATTAATCTTGTTGGTTGAAATAATCCTTTGTGTGTGCTCAGGGTTAAGAACTTTTGGTCATCTGGATGTACTTCTAACTGCAGATATGCCTTGGACAAGTCAATCTTCGAATATTTTTCACCGCCTGCCATTGTACTAAACAATTCGTCGACTGTAGGCAATGGGTGCTTGTCCACCACTAAGACCGGATTGATCGTTATCCGGACTTATCGTTATCTTTCTTTCTGACCACCACGATTGGTGTAGCCCACTCGCTACGTTCCACTTTTTCCAATAATCCAGCTTTTACTTGGTCATCTAATTCATCTTCCACTCTCTGCAACAGTGGAAAAGGTACTCGTCGCGCCTTCATACATTTCGGAACAGCATCGGTTTTAATATTCAAACGCGCCTGAAACCCCCTAATTTTGCCCACTGACTTCGAAAATAAATTTGGATATTTCTCCAAGATACTCCTTAACTGACCTTCCAAATTCGCCGACTCCTGAATTTTGTTTACGCTTACCGATGACACACTCTTTCCTTTTAACATCTTCAGCCAGTCTAATTTAACTAACCGCAGCCACTCTCTTCCCAGCAATGGTTTCCGATTGGCCCGTACTAAATACATTTTGACTTTTGTTATGTCTTTGGCTCTTACTTTCACCCATATGTATCCCGCGCAATCTATAGGCGTCTTGCAATAACTATAGAGTTCCAAATCTGGTTCATGAATTCGTATTTTCTTCGAAAAATATTTGTACGCATCGGCAAGACTTATGATGGTGACCGGCGCTCCCGTGTCAACTTCAAATGTGATATTACGATCATTTACTTCCAATGTACATAGAATTTTATCCCGTATGCTGGGGCTCTGTCCATTACTTTCCATCTTACACACTTCTTGCTCTGAGTCCTCCTTTCCACTGACTTCGCCGTCAGATATTTGTTTCATTGTAGATCTTGCTTTAAAACACACACGCCTTAAGTGGCCTCTCTTTCTGCAAAAATTGCATACAGAATTTATGTGACGGCAATCGTTTGAATTATGCTTACTGCTGCCACATCTGTCACAGTTTGTATTCAGTTTCGATCTCGCTCTTTGTTCTGTCTCTCTGACTCTTTTCTCCCTCTCTTTTGTCTTTCTCATATTCACCATGTCAACGGCTTCTTGCTGCTTATTCATTTCCTGGAACCCCTTTTCAGCTTGTTCAAACATGTTTGCCAAATGTATTGCATCATCTAATGTTAAATCGTCCTTTTCCAATAACCGGCCTTGAATCTTTCTGTTCCCTATGCCGTACACAAACTGGTTCCTCAGTGCTTTGTCCAGGTATTCACCAAATCCACAGCCCGTTGCTAGATGTCTCAAAGCCACTAAATATTCTGCGGCGGATTCTGTAGGTTCTTGCTTACGTGAGTGGAATTTAAAGTTCAAAAATATTTCATTGGGTTTAGGGTTATAATGCTTCTCCAGCAATTCACAAATATTATCATACTGCAATTCCTCTGGTATCAAGGGTAAAGCCTTGTCACATAGCTTATTATAAGCCTCTGTACCCATGAAATGTAATAGATATTTAGCCTTCATCGCCTCGCTCGTACCAAAAATCGCCAACGCCGTCTCAAATCTTTTCACCCAACGATTCCAGGTTGTAGCCTTTTCATCAAATGGCTCCATTTGAAAATTGCCACGCGGTTTTGGTTCACTCGTCGCCATAATTGTTATATATCCCGGTCTGCTAGTAAAACAACTGTTGCCTTCAGGTAACTCATAACAACTGAGTGATGGTGTTTATTGCATATGCTTACATCGATAGTAGTTTAGTAGTTACTGAATACGTAACGTATACAACACTTACTCTACCAAAAAGTAAGATTTTACTCCTTCGACTCTATCTATACCATTTTCATCGTAACGGAATTTTCCTTTCCGAATTTTCCTCACCCACTCCAATTTTGGGTTTGTCATGTTTGGCTCCTCCAAAACCTTTATCTCCAACCTACGCAGATATATAAATGCATTATTTACCGTATGACAAATGAATCTTTTAATTTATTTCTGATCAATTACTTTGAATGTATTTTTTAAACAGACAAACACACCTGTTTACATCAACATATGCATGTGTGTGTGTGTGAGTGTATGCATGCATTTGTATTTATTTGTTAATTACAATATGCGTATTCACGCATACAAAATTATTTGTTTGATTCAACATTTTTATGCAGGTTGGTTACAATTTTGCAATTATCACTTTAATTAAATTTAATTGTAACTGAATTTCACACAATATCTGTCTCTTCTTTTTTCTCCATCAAATGAAGTGAAAAACTCATAGATGGTGAAATATTGAACATTGCGAACATGTACGCGGACATTGTGGTATTCCGGCTAGGGAAGGCAACAAAAAAAAAAACGATTGCGAAAAACAATAATTTATCAGAACTCATTTCACTTGAATACGTTAGAGGCAACCAGAAAGAAACGCACAAAAAAAAAACAAAAACGCCAACGTAATCAGCATGTAATTAAGCATTTAATTTAACGTATTCTATCGAAATGCATTAAATTGTTCAGTTTTCTTTTTAAAAATATGCAGAGATTGTGGTAAATAATTTTCATTATTTGTCAGCTTGCTGTTGGCTTATGGCGTACCTTTGCTTCGCTCACGGAAGTAGCTGGGAATTCATTTTATGTTGATAATGAGTGGATTGTTGTTTCAATCACTCGTCGAGGTATTGACAAAAGGAGTTAATATTTATCATTTTTCGAATGAATTGCGTATGTGACAAAATGTTCAGACATATTTGAATGGCAAAGTTTTTAAACTTTAAACGAAATAAAAAACAAGTAAGCAAAGGCTACAGTCGAGCGGGGCCGACCGTTGAATACCCTACAACACTATAATAAATGATACAGTTTATATAGGCGAGATATTCGAAAGAATTCCACAAGATATTGTGACAAATAAGAAATGTAAACCATCAGGTTTCGTTCTCTAATTTTCGAATAATAGCTTAAACTAATTTGCTCATTTCCAATTTATTGGTAGATGTTGCACGTAAATGGTCTTCCTAGATCTGGAACCAATATTTCCCAAAGACCCATAATCTCTCAGAAGTGGCAAAATATTAAAATTAATTATTGGTTTTTGACTGAAACGCATCTATATGAGATACAGACATTTGACCATATTCGTTAACGAAATAGTCAGAAGTGCGTCTTTCCTGTATTTGTGAATTCTCGAAAAAGTCTCTGGAATGGACATTTTCGTATTTTGTCTACCAAAGTTGGCAAACTATTTCACACATTGAATATTTTTGGATGGCCATACAAAGCTGCTTGGCTTTTGCAATGTCCGGTAACCCCCTTTCAAATGTGCGTGAGGATCGGGCGATAATTACGACCTGCCGACAATTTTGCAGTTTTTTGGTCCATTTCAACCCCTAAATATATGGCGATCATCTCCAAAAAAAGTAGGCTTCTATTCTGATCCTCATCTTATCCCCATGCAAAATTTCGTAAGGATCGAGCCATAAATGCGATCTGTATATGATATCCTGATATCCTAACTACTTAGTTTTGTTAGCTGTAGAAATATTACCAAATGTTTAATTCAAAATGAAAATATGCCAAAAATATGACAAATTGAAAAAATATGAGAAAATTTTACAAAATCAATATTTTCATCTTTAGAGAGATATTTTTATGCGATTTTTTTAGACGTTTTTTCTTTCCTGCCAAGAGGCCATTCTGAATTAATGAGAACTGTCGAAATCAGTTCAGCCGTTCTCGACATATAAGAGATCTTTCAAGCATATCTTCTTTGATAAACATATATATCGCACATATTTTGCTATATATCCGATTTGTTGGATGTTAACATCAATGTAAAGGTCAGAAGTAACCTTCTCATGGCTTTGTGATTTCGCCGGGATTTAAAATTTTCGCGGTTTAATGAAAAATTTTGAATTTTTTCAACACAAAAGATATGGTCTATTTTACCCGCTAAATATTATCCGATGACCACCCAAATTGGTAGGCTTCTTCCCCGTCCTAAACTCTAGCTACATGCGAAATTCCACGTCGATTGGTCTATAATAGCGACCTCTATAGCTACTGCAAAATCCGACATTTTTTCAGTATTTGGTCCATTTCAACCCCTAAACATTTGGCGATCATCTTGAAAAATAGGGTTCTATTCTGGCCCGACCCCGACCTCCATTCCAAATTTCGTGAAGATCGGGCCATAATTGCGACCTGTAGAGTGATTACAAATTAACATGGACAGACGGACGGACGGACATACATAGGTAGATCGACTCAGCTCGGCGAGCTAGGATGATCCATATATACTTTCCTATGTGGGAAACCAATATTTCGTGGTGTTACATAATTTTGGGCCCAATCAAACTTATAATACCCCCAACACATAGTGTTGTAGGGTATAAAAATCAACAATTGATTACTTTATTCTTTAATCCATTCAGGTACAAGAGCAATTAATAAAACCTGATTTGACTTCTATGAATATCCGAACGTAATAAATTGTTTCTTAGAGGGAAAATTTTCAAAGATATATTTTTTCAGGTAAGTTTCAAAAACATCACTTTTTGCAAAAAAAAAAAAAAAAAAAAAAAAAAAAAAAAAAAAAACAAGTAAAAAGCATTAAGTTCGGCCGGGCAAAACTTTTAATACCCTCCTCCTTAGGATAAAGGAAACATTAGAGCCCATTTGACCCACATATACCATTTTTTAGGCATATTCATGGGAAATTGTGTCAAAAATCATCAAAATACCGAATACGGCTATATGGGGCTATACAAAAACGTGGACCTATACGTAATAAATTTTGTGTTTCGCCAAAAGAGCTAGAACCCATTATACATGAATGTTACGCCGAAGGAGCTAGAGCCCATTATGACCTACAAATACCAATTTTCAGAAAAATCCATGAAAAAATGTGGAAAAAAATCATCAAAAGACAGAATACCGTGAGGTACCGTTACATGGGGCTATACCAAAACGTGGACCCATACATGCAATGTTTCGCCACACGAATTAGGACCCATATGACCTACAAATCCCAATTTTTAGACAAATCAGTGAAAAAATATGGCAAAAGCCATCAAAATGCCGAATATCGGGAGGTACCGTTATATGGAGGCTATACCAAAACGTGGACCCATACATGCAATGTTTCGCCACACGAATTAGGACCCATATGACCTACAAATCCCAATTTTAGACAAATCAGTGAAAAAATATGGCAAAAGCCATCAAAATGCCGAATATCGGGAGGTACCGTTATATGGAGGCTATACCAAATCGTGGACCCATGCATGCAATGTTTCGCCCCGGAGCTGAAACCCATTATGACCATCAAATACCAATTTTCAGACAAATCAGTGAAAAAATGTGGCAAAAGCCATTAAAATGCCGAATATTGGGAGGTACCTTTATATGGAGGCTATACCAAAACGTGGACCTATACATGCAAAGTTTTGCCACACGCACAGCGACCCGTTATGACCTACAAATACCAATTTTCAGACAAATCCGTGAAAAAATGTGACATAAATCATTAAAATACCGAATATCGGAAGGTACCGTTATATATGTATGGACCGATATATGTCATTTTCAATACCAACCATCCTAGACACAATACAAATTGCTCTGCTAAATTTTGGCGCTCTACGTCAAATAATGTGGACTGTATCGTGATTTCAACGGACAGACAGACAGACAGACGGACGGACGGAAAGACAGACAGACGGACATAGTTAAATCGACATAGAATTTTTTGCTGATTATATATATATATACATATATATATATATATATATATATATATATATATATATATATATATATATATATATATATATATATATATATATATATATATATATATATATATATATATATATATATGTATATATATGTATATATATATATATATACATATATATATATATATATATATATATATATATATATATATATATATATATATATATATATATATATATATATATATATATATATATATATTATAGTATGGTCTACAACGAATATTTAAGGATGTTACAAACGGTATGACAAAGTTTGTGTACAGGGTTGCCCATATTCGACGGACCAATCTGGAAACCCCATAACTTTTGACAGAGATGTCACATCGCTTAATGACATACCGCGTTTGAAGCGAATCAATACACACCATGAATCAATACACGCCACGCGAGCGCTGTTTTTGGTTCACCTGAACTCCTTAATATTTTTCGATCATCTCCAAATGCAAGAAATCCCTCTGTATATCCAAATTTATACTCATCTCTATGATTTGGTTATCTACGATATTTGGCAATATTCGTCAACGAAATCAGCATAAAAACCCTTTTTCAACCCTAAATATATTGCGGACATCTTTAAAAACAATAGGCTTACCCCTTCTGAGCCTAAAACTACCCTTATGAAAATTTTCGTGAGGATCGGGAGATAATTACAATCTGTATATTTTTAACCCCAGCCTGTGTTGTAAGGTGAAAATATATTACAAAATATATACTTCAATATTATAAGTCAAATTGAACAAATCGCATGCGATAAAAAAATAAAAAATTACACAAAATACTACAAAGTCTATATTAAGATCATTATTGGCATATTTTTATGCGATTTTTTTTAGATTTTATACTTTTATGTCAAGAGAA